AATAGTTAATCTAGTGCAGGATACAAAGTTTAGCCCATTGACAAATTCCGCTTGCAACCCAGGCTTGAGGACATAATTAACTCGGCTCTAAAACTGTTCCGATTTTCGTTTTAGCTAACTGTTTCCAAGTTTTCTATTACACCCCTCTAGACTACATTCGTTTCGATAATTTGTTCTTGATTCTATGGACTGTATTCGATAGCGGTTCGATGTATCGTCCGGTTCAAATAATAGAGCATAACCTCAAAAAATTTTAAAGTTCATAAGTTAGAAAAGCTGAAAAAGAGAGAATGACTAACAATTTCACGTTTTGTTGTCATATAGTACTCATTTGAATAAAAAATTAATAACAAAATCCCGTTTCCACAGATTACTTTTTTGAATCTTGAGGCCATGTTTACGCATGCTGAACCAATCGATATCGATACAATCTCAGCAATGGAACGCCTGTTTGATGTATCAAATACGATCCATTATTGAGGTGAGAAAATTTGGAATGTTTTATGACCTGCTTATAAATGTAAAACAACGGGTTCTTAGAGCTACGCCTCATAGAAAAGCTGTGCTTCTCTATGAACATTCAGACGTTACCATGTTTTTACCGATAGAAAACTGATATCTATGGTATACTGATAAAATTTATCAAAGAAAATATACACTGGAAAAAGGACACATTGGATCTAGTGTCCAGACTCTTAAAAACATCGACAAGAAGAAGTACTCTTGATTCAATCAGAATCTAGTTTAAATCAAGAACCAAGCCTCTTAATTTAAGCGGATTTCGTTTTGATTCAAGCAAAAATCCGATTGAATCGAGAGTATTTTTTCTTGTCAATGTTTTCAAGAGTCTGGACTAGATCCGATGTGTTTTTTTCCAGTGTAGATTATTTTAGTTTACCATGTTGCATTTTGTACTATGTTTATCAGAGTATTTGAAAATTGCATAATAATCGTGCATAATTGCATCTTGACATTACTCAGAAATAAATATTTACTAGGTGAAAATTGGCAACATTCGAATATTCAAACGGCGTTTTTCCTTAGCGTAGCCGTATCTAGAGCGATAATCGCGGAAAAACACTCCGAGCACCAGCTCCGCAACTCCGTGATGCTCATCATCCATCGTTCATCCATCAAGTGTTGCCTTTTCATCACTAAATGATAGTCTATTTTACATTCGCCCGACCTACGAAACTAAAAGAACTCACGTTAGGAAAATCAACACGGCCAGGATCAGAGACAATTCTCATTTTGAAGACCTCCTGTTGCTATCCTCTTTATATATCGTCAAAACTACTTTCAAATTCAGATGCTGAGTTCTGCCGAACGCACTGGAAAAAAAACACGTTGGATCTAGAGTCCCGACTCTTGGAAACAATGACAAGAAAAAGTACTCTTGATTCAATCGGATTTTTGCTTAAATCAAGAATCCAGCCTCTTAAATTAAGCGGATTTCCTTTTGATTCAAGTAAAAATCCGATTGAATCAGGAGTATTTTTTCTTTTCGTTGTTTTCAAGAGTCTGAACTCTCGATCCAAGTGCAAAAATTCGCCTGATTTTCGCTGAACTTTATACGGGAGTTGGGTAAGGAAAACGTGAGGAAGGAACACAAGAAGGCATGGAGACTCAATCGGACTTTTGCTATCCGTAATGGCCAACCAGCCCGGTTGGCCATTACGGATAGCAAAAGTCCGATTGAATCAAGAGTATTTTTCTTGTCAATGTTTTCAAGAGTCTGGACTCTAGATCCAATGTGTTTTTTTTTTTCCAGTGTTAATGATGACTGACCACCAGAGAGTAATCGGTTTAGCAAGCCTAAAGCTATAGGTCTCGATGGACAGTCGAATTCCAAACCAATACCGATCGAAATAGACCATGCTTTTGATTACTAATCGTCACAATGCAACATTCTTCTTTGATCAAGATAGAGAGCCGTCATGCATCTTTTTCTGCCGCACTAAATATTTCTGCCGAGTTTTCATTTGAAGATAATACGAAATGACAATTTTAAGAATTATGAATCCTGACACTTTGTTATTTGGATGGGGATTTTGATCGTCTATCCAGCCTTTGACCTAGTTTTTAAAAACCTAGTTTTTAAATTTTTGGTGCCGAGAGAGAAGTACTGGAGGACACTACTTGAAAGGTCCAAGTTGGAACAGATGCGATAATGGCAAAGACCTGAAAATTGATCGTCTCTGTGAAAATTGAGCATTTTCGAGTTACCGAGTTGGTGTGTTTTCGTTCTCATTGATTCAATTATTCATGACGAAATTGACTCAAACTGGATATTAGATGCTTCCAATTTTGAAAATGTTCTGGGAATAAGCCCTCGGCCCCCCCCCTTTTCGCCCCCCCCCCCGTTTGAAGTGTCAGGGTCCGCCTATGGAATCTTTACTCAAAAATTTCCTCATCAGCCATCATTAGGAATAAAAAGAGTTGACTTTTGTCTCTCCCGATTGAATGGCTTAAATATTCTTAGTGCCGGGTCTTTAGAATACACTGGGAAAAAAAAACACATTGAATCTACAGTCCAGACTCTTGAAAACAATGACAAGAAAAAATACTCTTGATTCAATCAGATTTTTGCTGAAATCAAAAGGAAATCCGCTCAAATTAAGAGGCTTGGTTCTTAATTTAAGCAAAAATCCGATTGAATCAGGAGTATTTTTTTCTTGTCGATGTTTTTAAGATTCTGGACTCCAGAGCCAATGTGTTTTTTTCCAGTGTATAATGTCTCTGCCAGAATAGGACGTTTGTATTTAGTTCTCATTCATGACGAAATTGACTCAAAGTTATAATATTAGATGCTTCCGATTTCGAAAATATGCTGGGGGGGGGGGGGGCCCTCAGTGCCACCACCTCCGTTTGCAGTATCTGGATCTGCCTATGGGTTCTTCACCAAAAAAGTTTCTCAGCAGCCATCATTGGGGAAAAAATAGCATTGACTTTTTCCCGCCCGATTAAATCATCCAGCAAATTGGCAACATTGCATTTCCTCCATTTTAATCTATGGAAACGTATCGCTTCTTGGAGGGGGCCTGGTGCCTCGACAAGAATCGATTATTTAGCATAGGTTTAAATAGAGAAAATCCGGTGTTGCCAAATTTGCTGGATCCGCCTCTGGATTAAATGGCTTAAATTCTTAGTCCCGGGTCTCTGCTAGGAAGCTTTTTTAGTGCCGGCTCCTCAAAGCCGTAGCTTTGAAAATTTCCAGATTTCCATTACTTTACGTCACGAAACGACACGCACACGGTGGATTTATACGCTCAGCTTTGATTCAGATGAAGAATTATGGGCTGCGCACTGAATGGTGAGTAAGTCTATGGGAAGAAATACAAGAGAATGTGCATGTGAGTGCTCATGGTGTGCTTACTCAGCCGCAACAAATTTGACATGAGAATAATTATTATTAGCTCGTCTGTCCAGGACCTGCCAACGTTGCCAAGTTTCAAGTGAACTTGGAAACCTCATTATCGATGGAGCTTGGATTGAAGATATTCCTACATTCTAGAATCTAGAGTCCCTTCATACTGAGAATTAAGACAATGCCCTGGTAAAAATTGGCGATAGGGGCTGCGTTTCAAAATACCATCAGAGTTTTTATAGCCGACTGAAGAAGGCGATAGAAAATCATATAGCTGGCTGTAGAAAGTGGAAAAAATTATACAGCCGGGATATAGTTCCTGTCACCGGGCTTTACACTTTATCGCCTGGCTGTTGCTTTTTCGCCATCGGCTGTAAAAGGCTATAAGAAATTGTGTAGAAATTCGTGTGCTTTGTAAATCCTTAAGTTTGTACGGAATTGCCTTAATATTTACAAAACGCACATTATATTTTCCTTTACTACATATTTTATTTCATCAATTAAAATGAGAATAATCCATACAGAGTGTGCAAACATTTCAAAGTCATGAGTTGAAAAACGCAGACTCCACGAGATCAAATGTTAGAGCCTAACACAAAGCGGAGCGGCGGCGCACTGGCGCCTACAAACCTAACAGGGATACTTCACGCATTGCACAATGCGTGAAGTATCCCTGTTAAGTTTGTAGGCGCCAATGCGCGTTTTGCGCTGGCTGCCCGCCCGCCGCGCCGCAGCGTACCGCGGCGCTTGAAGCAACTATTTCACACCAGAGGTATTGCACAGTATCATACGAAATTGAAGGCGCTCAAACATATTAGGAATGGCAGGCATCCTTTAAAAGTACGGAGCTTTCCTCGCAAAATAAATCAAAATACTACGGCCCAAAAAGAGAGTGGTGGTCCAAAAACTCACTAAGTCCTAGCATCCGTAATTAGTAACATTTAGCATACACTTTATCGCCAGGCTGTTGCTTAATCGCCATCGGCTATGAAAGGCTATAAGAAATTGTGTTGCCGGCTATAGAAGCTATTGGAAATCTTACAGCCAGCTGTAGGTTTATGATATTTTGGAGCACAGATTCTACTGTCAATTTTTACAAGGGTGTGAATCCATTTCTGATTGGTTCCCGTATTTTAGGCCTCCGAAGGGTCACAAACGGGAATAAAGATTACATTTTCACCAACTGCAAAAATTATAATCTGGAATGGACCGAGGAATTACGGGTTCGGCAAGGAACAAACGGAATGAGAGAAGGAACGGAGAAAGGAATTTGAAGTGGGTCGATCAAAGATTACGAAAAACTCTCAATTTGTGTAATCTTTATTCCCGTTCTCATGTAGAAAAATAAATTACCGAACCAAATTTTGACAATATCGGATGTGGCTAGGTCCCTTTTTGCTTGAAGTCCATTTAAAAAAAAATGGATATAGTCAAAATTCTCCTTAAGCGGACTTGAGTTAATTTGATGGTTTGAGGTTGCCTGTGTGAGGAAAAATACTGCATACGAAATAAAACCGTGAAGGAAAAGAAGAAAAAATCTTCGCTTTTCGTTTGAATTATTAAGTAACTTTTTTAAATTTTTTGTACCTGAAATTATGAATTTACTAATATGCATGAATTAAAGAGGACTTACCAAATTTACAGTAAATAGTAGGCCAACGAGCATGAGTTGGGCATTGTAACCTACCCCCATTATTACTCACACTCGCCCCCGTGGATTTTTGCCTGGAACAAAAAGAACATTATTAAATTGGACATTGCTCTCTGAATTTTCATAGATATATTGAAAAAATGAGGTTTTAAAGAGATTATGAGAACAAGTGTCTCAGAGTAAAATAATAAGGAAAGGTCAAGATTGGACAGGCAGTAAAAAATTCATAATTCACATTTCCTTCAGACACCTGGGCTATTTCGTCACCTTCCAGGCAAAGTATCACAAGCGCCATGCGACGTTTAATAATTTCCGCCGCCATTTTATTTTTTAACAGAGAAATTGTCCAACGAAGCTGTCCGAAAATTTCACTGAATTTTTTTTGTGCTGCCGATAAAATTTAGTGAAATTTCCAAACAGATTCAACCAACAATTTCTCAGTAAAGAAATAAAATGGCGGCGGAAATTTTTAAACGTCGCATGGCGCTTGTGATACTTTGCCTGGAAGGTGACGATTTGTTGAGGATTGCTACTTTTATCCTTAATCGAAATAAATAATTAAAGTATTAATAAGTAAAGGAAGGGCCAAGTAAGTACCTCAGTAAGTAGAGATCAGCAGTAAATAATTATATTATTACTGGTGGATAAAAAATAGACGACTGCATTAAAACACACGCTATCAAACAAACAAAAAATGAATTAAATCAACTGATAGACTCATTCATAAAAAGTAGACATTTACGAATGCATAGTAAGTTTAGTAAGTTTCGCAAGTTTACTAAGTATAATTATTTTATGAAGAACGCAATGCAAATGCACAAAAAATGTTTACTATTGTTTACATCGAATTCGAGACGAGACAAGAATTTAAAATCTCTCTTATTTATTGATTCAAAAATTCCCTTTCACATATAAAGAGATGAAGTTACTCAGTTCAGAATCATTAAACTTTTTTTGGTATGATCGAAATAATGAAGAGCTATAATTTGTTCAAATTGTTATTTTTTTTTTTTGGCGTCCAATACGAAAACCAAGTTTGCAAAATTCTCCCGTAGAATTAGGCGACATAAGACAATCTTAAAGACTAAGTTATTTTTGGCTCCCTCTTTCATCAAGCGGCACAGAAAAGCACACACAATATAAGTTTTCATCTTAATTTCTTTACCATCCCAAAATCGAGTAAACACCATGCAGAAAATTGTGCGGCAGAGTACAATCACCTGTTCGATAATACACCGTTCGTAAGATAGTAAAACGCAGGAAAAAGAGGGGTCTCGACTCCCGAGTCAAAGAAACTCTGAATGAAAGCGTGTGAATGAGCTTGCGCGGCTGCGGTCTGCAGGGTTGCCAAAATGCAAAACTTCTCAAGGCTTCCACTCGCCTTTCGAGGGTTTTTCGAGGAATGTGGCAACGCTGCAAACTACGAGGAGTCGAACCGGTGCCTGACGGCAAGCATTCAGCCGCGAGTGAGAATACGTAGGCCGTGACGTTGGATTGCGAGGAATAAAGCCGTGTTCCGTGTTGGTATGAATGGGAATTCTCAGGAACTTGGCAACGTCGGCGAAGAAAAAGAAGAAGCGGAGGAAGCCACATGGTCGCGGCCTGGTAGACACGTCCGAGCTTTGCTATCTTGGACTTGGACCTGGCTGATGTAACCCGGGAAAAGTAGCGGGAGATTTGAACGATGCTACTTCTCTTTCGACCGGCGCGCGGCGTCGTGCAGAATTCGGCGGAGCTAAGTTTTTATGGTCTCCAATCAGCTATCCTGAAAAAGTTGTATCTCTAGGAATCCACGAAGAGACCAGGAAATATGATAACATCAAGTTGAACTTGCACAATTTTAGAAAGAGGGTAAGTTGAGAGTCGTCTGTAAAGAAGGTAAATGGAGAGACTTTAACGCCGGTGTAGAAAGAAAGACACTTTCCTTCTTGAAGTTTGGCAAATCCATAGGCTTCTTTCTTCTGTACTATGTAATTTCTGCAGAGACCTAACATCTTCAAACCTTGCAAGGATCTATTTTCAAAATTTAATTGCTGAATTTTACTCGTCGTTTGCTAAAATTTTCCCCCTCATAATATTATGTGAAGGATCTCCCGCCGGTCCCTATAAATCACAATTTAAACTAAATTGCGTCGCCTTAGGAAAATAGTTATATACGAAACACTTTTGATCACGTCCCTAGAAGGGCTGAGCACATCAAAAGTGGACCCTTTTGTGGCCGTACTTTAGGTGAATTTTTGTGAGTGGGTTTGGTTGACTTTTCCGACCCAATCCCTTGAAGAGCGTTATTTTTCAATCCAATTCTCTTGAGCTCATCAACAAACCGGTGTCCAAACCAAAGCAGAATTTCTCGATCCATCTACGAAGGAAGGTAAAAGAGTGAATGGGAGTAAAGGGTTTCACCAGATTCCTCGAAATGCAATCAATTTTTCCAAAATGATGGTTTTCTCTGCGACAAAGACAAGTAGACATATTTGGGGGACGCCTGACGGACGGTCACTCGTTTTTTCAAGTATGGTCATTTTGACTCCTGGGACCTTAAAACGTCGAGAAATGATGAAATTTCAACTTTGTATTCCCCCTTACAGGCTGACAATACTTCCTCTACCCTAGGGGAGCGAGAAAGTAAAAAATACCCTTTTTATGTGAATGGAAGAAAATCAGTCGATCTTTAATCACCCAAACGATTTCTAGGAGTCTTTAGTGGACGATTAGTGGCAATTTGACGAAGGACCTTTGTACTTACTGCTGCTCTGTTCGCTATCCCGGCAGTTCTGTCTTTAAAAGTAACCCACGTCTCTGTAGAGTCCCTTTATACTGAGAATCAAGACAATTCAGCTCATGGATGTCACAAACGGGAATAAAGATTACAGAAAGTGAACGTTTTTCGTAATCTTTGATCGGCCCATTCTCAAATGCCTTTCTCCGTTCCTCCTCTCATTCCGTTTGTTCCTTGCCGAACCCGTAATTCCCTGGTCCATTCCAGATTATAATCTTTGCAATTGGTGAAAATGTAATCTTTATTCCCGTTTGTGACACTGTGGAGGCCTAAAATACGGGAACCAATCAGAAATGGATTCAAATTGTCTTGACTCTCAGTATAAAGGGACTCTACGTCTCTGGAGTGACGATATGAAGCCATGGTCACATGCGTCCGGGTTCACACCGAAAGTTGGCATCGCGGCCGAGTGTCGAATCCCGTCGCGGCGGCGCGGCTCGGCGGTTCCCGGACAAATGTCTCTCGGCTCACAATCAGAATGCAGCCGGAGTTCCTTACCTAGAACTTGAGCCACGCTCCGTGTCTCCGCAAGCCCGCGCTCCGCCGCACAGTGGATCGATTCAATGGAAGAGGTCGGACAAAATTTGGAAACTTTAAAAGCTTATAACTCCGTTCACATTAAACTTTGAGGTCCCAAAAGTGGTTCCATTGGTTTTCTCGTGAAATTTTCTTTCAGATACACCCCTTATACTTTAAAATGTAACGAAATTAACACCAAAATTCTCAGTTTTAGTCAAAAATTTCATGTCCGACTTCCCGGATTGACTCGATCCACTGTGCGCCGGCCGGCTATTATCCTTTTTTCGCCGTTCCCAGTTCAGCTCCACGGTTCTTTTCCACATACCGCTAGCCGCCAGCTTGTACCCTTCATAATTGCCTCCTCCCCGTCGTACAGCGACCGATAAGTCGCTTGTTACAGGTTCGGCTCTCGCGACCTGACCTTCGACCGGCGCATAGATGGATCCAATGACCTTCATTCATACATCCTGACAGTTATAAACACAAATTGAATCTGGGAAAAGGCTCCAAAAGCTGTCAAAATCGCCGAAAGTTGGAAGTAATGGAGAATTAGCGAGTGTCTGAATTTTGATGAATTTCATGACTAAGTGGAAACTACTGAGTGAACTGAACACGAGGATACCCTTGGTCCATGAATTTAACAATTATCGGAGAAGATATGACAAAATGATTTAATATGTTAAAATACATCTGTTTAAATGGTAAATGCCACCAGATGACGTCCCTCGGCGGAGCATTATTATATCACTTTCAAATAAGTTTTTAGACTATTTCCCATTACAGAAAAATATTACAAAACATACTGCGAAATCAGTACTCTGAGCACTCTCATATGAAGCAATAAAAAATTTGTTTGCAAATTCTCCATATTGTCGAACGTAACCAGAGACAGGTGCACGGCGAAAAAAACATCGTGCGTGGGACCATGGTCATATGGATCGCTGAAGTTTTCGGATCACGTATCGGAAAACTTGAGGTCGAGCTGCCGAAGTTTGGGTCAGACATCTGAAGTACTTCGATATATACCGTAGGGTTCGGGTCACACATCTGAAGTACTCCGGTACATACCGAAGTTCCTCGATGTCTGACCCGAACTTCGGCAGTTCAACCTCAAGTTTTCGGGTGCGTGATCAGAAAACTTCAGAGATCCATATGACCTCAACTTCGGGTCTCACGCAAGAAGTTTTTTTCTCCGCGGGGGAAAAAAGAGGTGTGCTCGTTAGTCGAAGGCCGTAAGAATGAATGGGAATTATAAAGCGCCGGTGACGTCAGCGGCAACGAAGCCATCTTTACTGTCGCTCTTCATCGGTAATAACTCGTGAGCCCTGCCTACACCACTCTTTTGCCATGCCCGCGGCTCATGAGTGCCGCATACAGTTGGCATCAAGTCAAATAACGTTGTCTTCAAGAATCGTGTAGATTTATTGCCAACATTATTTAGAATCACCTTGAATTTTGTCTTATTCGCAAAAAACATAAAACAAGTTATCCACATTTTCTCTCTTAACTGACGAAGCCACTCCTTGCCGCTTGATGTTGGGTCAGCGCCTTGATGCAACAATTCGTGCTTGTTGGATGTCTATATTGCATACACACAAAAGTGAAGGCGCTTTGGCGTCTCGGCTCCAACGCTCAACAGCGTTGCTTTTGGCAAGTTAATGGAGGAAAGCCACTGTTGCCAAACTGCTGGATCCGCCTCTGATCGACCCCTGACAACGCACGAGGAAATGAACTCTTGCTAGTGAATCCGTAATGAGACAAAACGGTCTCATTCAG